AAATAACCCCCTGCGAAGCAACGGATTATATATGACTCATATAATAGTAATACCTATACAATCCTGAGATTCGTAACAACTTGGCTTTCAATCTTAAGCCATTATCAACACAGTCGTGGGATCTAGTTACGTAGAGTATCTAAACCTACATAAATTTATTTCACATACTCTATGGCTTTTATTAAATGTAGTTAATGTTAAATTTTAACTTTCTCCGTTGACATGAAACGTGTAAATAAAAAGAGTGTATGCAGTAATCTACATAATATTTGAGTCAGGCAGCATCTGGCAGTGCTGACGGAGTTGGCAAGTCGCCAGAATAATGATTGATTGCCAGTTAACTTGTCAGTTTCTCTCAGGTCCTGATTATTCAGTACCATGATGTTCACTTTCACAGGGGCATTTTCAACTGATTGCATTTCATAAAAGCGGTTTAATTGATCTCATTATCAAGTAGATGTAATCTAATTATTTTTATGTGCAATATTAATCGTTTAGTAAAGAGGGAAGAGGTCGCGTATGTCTGGACATTAACACGCACACGCTAAGGATACTTCCTCAAGTTATTGCTACTAAAGTTGCAAAAAACTTCGGTGCGTGAGGGGGAGGCGGCGCGGAGTGGAGCGGGGTGGCGCGTGGAGAGCGCGTCGGTCAAGGCCGCGCTCTCACAGTTCATCCCTCACTACACACGTCTCTCGGCGTTACTTGCAACCCACTGCACATGCTCGTGCTACATACCGGGCTTATCAAAATATTATGAAAAGTAACAGTTATTTTATTAAAACGCATGACCTCAAAATCTAAAAAAATTAAACATATGGTAATTGTTATTGTTTTTGCCGCAACAGTCTTAGCCTAGATAATTTAAGTACGTGTGCACTCACCGAGCAGCACCTTGCAGGTGTCCATGCAGTCCTGCTGCGTGAGGAAGTTGTTCTGTCCGCCGCGGCAGCCGCCGTAGTTGAAGGGCACGCACATGCCCTTCATCGCTACAAACGCCCAGCGCTGGTACAGCCCGCGGCACGGGCCCTGCTCCGGCGCCTCCATGCAGATACCTATGAGTGGGGGGCGCCCATTTATATACGCATTCACACACCGTAATAGCATAGTACACGCGAGCAAGGAGAAGATGGCAATTTAAGACATAATTAGATCGATAGCATACCACGCGTAAGTTTTGATGGTAACCATCTAGGTAGCAAGAGAGACCTGTTAATATTTGATGTATGCGTGATAACCGTTTTTGTTTGTCCTGTCAATATTTGACGGCGTATTGCCGTAGGAGCCTTTACAGCGTAGGCTAATCTTATTGCTTTATTGTACAGATCAGGCAATAGTAAGAAGCTTTTACCTGTTAAATTTAACAAACGAGGCAAATTATAGCCTAAAACATGTGTTTTACTGTATGTAATAACTTAAAGTGACTAAGCTGGCAAGTATTGACTGGCGGCGTGTCTGTCGCTCGCACGCAGCTCTAGCATATCTATACATATTCATTTAATTGTAGGCTATAAAACTCCCTGGCAAAATGTTAAAAACGTTGAAGACCGGAGCAGGCGAGCTGGCGAGGGTCAGGTAAGAGACGAGTATAGTTACGTTTAGCGGTGGGCATGTCGATGGCGCAGTCTGCGCGCTCCTGGCAGGGCCGCTGCTGCAGCAGCT